CTGTATGTGGAGCCGAGAGGCGTTTATCACCCGAATCCCACCCCACTCTCGCTTTGACGATCACTTTTTCTTTTATTTCTGCCCACTTTTCGGCGTCGACAGAAACAGGAGGCGACAGTGCCGGCTCGTTGTCGGAAGACGAGAAGTATCGAGAGCGTCGTCGTCGCAACAACGAGGCAGTGCGCAGATGTCGTGAAAACAAGCGAGCTCGAATGCACATGCGCGACGAGATCACCGGTCAGTTGACGTCGGAGAACATCACTCTCCGTCAGAAGCTGGACGGCCTCAACTCCGAGGTCCAGGCGTTGCGTAACATCCTCCTGAAACAGCCCAATTCTCCCGCTTCCAAGTCGGCCGGCCAAAAGCCGACACCCACTCGTCAGCATCATCAGCAACCGCAGCAATTTCATCACCTTCAACAGCAGCAAAAGCAGCAACAGCATCAGCAGCAGCAGCATCATCATCAAGAGACGCACCAATCTCACTCTCACACTCTCGCGTCTCGGCAAGCGCAGTCCGGACCAACGTCGGCAAGTGCCGCCTCGAACGGCCTATCTCCAGGACCTGCTCTTGCCGATCGACTTCAGGGTCTTCCGGTTGCCGGGCGACCTGGTGACGCAGGCTCGCGTCTCCAGGGGCCGCACAAGACCGCCTCGTCCAGACGGCCGTCGAATGTGATGACGCCTTTTGGGAAGTTGGAGGACTCAGCTCATCCTCTCGAGGCGTCGGCCACCAGCGCCTGCCTCAGACCCGGTCGACAAGAGGTGGAGCTGGCCAACGGTCTTGTCTATCACCAGCAACAGACGCCAACGATTTCAGACCAACAGTACAGAACTGTGTTTCCGGGCGATTCTTTTTCGCCAGACAAGAAGCCCAACTGTTCCCTTCATCTGGTCGACGCAGAGCCGATTGAATGGGGAACAGGCGGAAAGTCGTACGATCAAGCACAGGATGGCGACGACGAAGACGGCGACGAGGATGACGAGAGCCTCAAGACGGCACCACGACACGCGGATACCGCGAAGCGGTTCCACTTGGGCCCAAAGACCGACAGAGACCAACTTCACGACCGACTGGACCAACAAGAGGACGACGGCGATGATGAACGCGAAGATGAAGAGGATGAAGACGACGAGGAGGGTGAGGAGGGCGATGAAGGCGAGGAGGGCGAGGAGGGCGAGGAGGGCGAGGATGAAGAGATGGAAAAGCCGCATGGCGAGACGCTGGGCCGGATCAGAAGGGAGACAGGCAAACGAATCCAAGGGATGGACTTGACGAAGGAGGACAAAGGAGACAGCAGTTGTGAGGACCAGGAAATGCAAGAGATCAATTGGTTCTCGAAGCACGAGGATCCCGGACACGAGGTTGACACCACCTCGGTCCTCCAGCCTCCAGTTTGGCTGGGCTCGGACAATCTGGGAGCCGCACACTGTGCAGCAAACCGTAATTTAGCTTCGAAAAGTGGCCTCCAACCAAACGCCGACCTCAAAGCGGACTCGGAATCCCAGTCTGACCTCGAGCACGAACAGGATTCTGACCTGGACCCCGACCCTCAACCTCAACTTCAACCTCAGCCTCAACTTCCTCCTCAACCTCGACTCACATCCGGAGCAGATCTCGAGTCGGATGCTGAAACAGAGCCAGAATTGGAGGCAGCCTCACTGGCCTGCGGTCTTCGTCGTGCCAACAAAATCAAGCTCAAGTGTCGCCGACGCACCACCCTACGGACTGGCGAAGCTGCGAATGGACGGACAACTGGCGAGTGCAGTGGGCCAACAGGACCGCCGGTCAGCAGTGAACAGAGTCAAGTCTACGCCGTCTGACGCGGATCCGGTTCCCTCCAACCGGATGCTTTTGGAAGTTTTCCATATTCACAAACCCACAACGCGCAGCTGACGTGCATGCCTGCATGCATGAATGTATGCGGGTGTGTGTGTGTGTGT